CTTATCTGAATTGTCTTTCTCCAAATAAGATGTTCAAATTGGGCGAAGGAAAATAACACAAGGATTAAAACTCATACCTTGTATTTAGCCAAACATGTTTGATCCCTGACAACATATGGTCCCCCTGAACATGTCTGGATGTAACCCTGAAGGATAGCACCACCACGATAGCTCATGCAGTTTCCCACCACCATAGGGCCAGAGCAGTACTGCATCCTCAGGCTGGGTTGAAGTTCTGACAACATTAACTGAGAATTACTTGGAGTGGTCTCCAAATCTGAGTAGAGGTTAAAAGTCTCACAAATTTAAATATACAAGAAGATGCATAAAATGGTTAAATTTATTAGGTATTTATGGAAATGATAATCAAAATAATTGTGATATATTCTACATCTATCAATGTGGTTTAAAAAAAACATGGTATTTTCCAGTGTCTACAAAACAGACCTGATTTTTAATTATTAGTATCATTTAGAATTTCCTCAATTATTAATCACTGAGATTTAAAATAGACTATCTTCCAGAAATAAGCACTCAGCTGAAGATATATGTTGTAACAGAGAGGAGAGGGATATTTCAGATATCCCTATGATAGAGTCCCCGTGCCAGAAAACTAAAGACAATTGCTTGCTTACACTCTCATTGTTAAAACTTGACAAGATATTCACAGATCCAATTTTTTACCTTCTCATACAATAGTAATATAGCCTGGTAATATAACTTCATCAAATCTGGGAGGATAGGACAAGAGAAATAGTATAAGAGGTAAGGCATTTGTCTTGCCTGCAGCCAAGTCAGGTTCAATTACTGGCACCACTTATGGTCCCACAAGTGCTGTGAGTATTGAGTAGTAAGTCCAAGCATGGATAGGTGTGGCCCCAAATCTAAAAATATCAAGAATGATAGCTACCACAACCTTAGACTAATTGGGTGCTTTTCAGAAGAATATATACTGAACCCCGATCCTCAGAATGATGGTATGTGGATGTAGGGCCACTGTGAAGTAGTTGGTTCCTCGTTAATGTGATTAGTGCACTTACAGAGTCCTTGGTTCCTTCTAATAAATGAGGGCACAGTGAGACTATTGTCCATGCATTAAGTAGCAGACTTTCACTATACACTGGATTTGCGAGCCCCTTGATTTTGGACAGCTCAAACTCCATGACAATAAGAATAAAATGTTTGACGAATTTTTAAATCACCAAACCTAAGTTACTTTTGCTATAGCAGCCCAAATGGATGACTATACTTCTTTAGGCAACGGTCTCAATTATTCAGTCTCAATTTTATCTGATCTAAATTAAAATAAACATATACCAAAATAATAATCCAAGAGTATTATAAATAATACTATCTAGTCAAGGTCAGGTTGGACTAGGTATGGTTTGATAAGAGGGGAATATATGAGCTTGTAATGGACAAATTATAGTGAGACTGATAAAAGATCTCAATTATTCTATTATACAAAAGCTGTTTCTTTCCCAACTACTTTAGATTAACGTGAAATAGACAATATTTTGCTTGAAATTGAATATAGAAGCTATCTTGACTATCAGAGTTTTATGCATACATATTTCAGTCCCACACATACATTAGTGTCTCTCCACCAATGTCTCACGGTCCTCTCTCAACCCCTCCCATGCCATTATTTTCGCAAACTCTAAATTTAATTATATTTTAGTCATATGTTTATAACTGTGTAAAAGCTTATAGTTTTGCTGTACTGAGTAACCTTACCTCTCCTGTCCCCAAAGTGACCAGGACCCTCCACCAATTCCTTAATGTTACCTCCAGTCCATCTGATTTTCTTTGTGATGAGGTAGCTATAATTGGAGCTAAGAGAAGTCAGATCTTCATATTGGTTAAGAATATACCAGAGGGTATGGTGCTGCCAGCAGGTCAATCTGTACTTGTGAGGCGAGTGCATCAGCAGCCTGATAGCGCCTTCAGATTTCCAGATACCCCAAAATTGCTGCTGTGCCTTTGGCCAGACCCCAAAAACTTGGGGCAAAGTTTACCAAGAAAGCAAACAGCCAAAAGGTAGGTATGTGGGAGACACACCCACAAACCACCTCTGGCTCAGCTATGTAATTAGAGGCATAGCCTCTCTGGTTCCTGATCAGACTGCTTAACGGCCATGATCCCAGCACTCAGAAACAAATCTCAAAACCCAATGGCTTTTGGCAGAAATGCATCCAGTCCGTGCAGTAGGTTACCAGCACCAGGTATACCCAGATGGGAATAGGTTTCGTGCCTTGGCCTGTTCCCCCTGGCGGCCAGGTGGCCGTCATCCTCCAGAGGCCACTGGACAGTCAGGTTTGGGCCCAAAGTGATGAGAGACATGGGGCTAATGGGATAGGGGTGGAACCGGCCCTTTCCTCCCTGTCCCAATGAGACCCTGAGTCGCCACCCACGAACGGCTTCTCTGGCTACTGATCATGCTGCTGAACGGCCATGATCCCAAATACTCAGAAACAAATCTAGAAACCAAGCAGCTTTTGGCAGAAATGCATCCAGAACCCGCAGTGGGTTATTGTCGTTGGGCCACCCCATGGGGGAAAGGGCACTGTCCCTCCACCTGCTACCCATAGGTGGCTCAGTGGCCGCCATCTTCCAGAGGTCATTGGGCAGTCAGGTTTGGGCCCGCAGTGACGAGACACACAGGGTCTCAAGGGATAGGGGCAGAGCCGGCCCTTTCCTCTCCACCCCAGCAAGACCCCGAGTTGCCACCCACAAACAGCCTCTCTGGCTCCTGATCAAGCCGCTTAATGGCCATGATCCCAGAGACTCAGAAAAAAATCTCAGAACCCAGCGGATTTTGGCATAAATGCGCCGAGTCCCTGCAGTAGGTTACCAGTGCTTGGCCATCCCAGGAGGGAATAGGTTTCGCACCTTGGTGTGTTCCCCCTGGCGGCCCAGTGACCGCCATCCTCCAGAGGCCATTGGACAGTCAGATTTGGGCCCGCAGTGACGAGATATGTGGGGCCTCACGGGATGGGGGTGGAGCTGGCCCTTTCCTCCCTGTCCCAATAGAACTCTAGTCACCGGCCACGAATGGCCTCTCAGGCTCCTGATCAAGCTGCTTAATGGCCATGATCCCAGAGACTCGGAAACAAATCTGAGAACCCAGGGGTTTTTGGCAGAAATGCGTCTGGACCCCACAGTAGGATACTGTCGCCAGGCCACCCCATGGGGGAAAGGGTTCTGTCCCTCTGCCTGCTCCCCCTTGGAAGTTCGGTGCCTGCCATTCTCCAGCGGCCGTTGGACAGTCAGTTTTGGGCCCTCAGTGACAAGACATGTAGGACTTCATGGGATGGGAATGAAGCTGACCCTTTCCTCCCAGTCCCAATAAGACCCCGAATCGCTGCCCACAAACGGCCCCACTGGCTCCTGATCAAGCTGCTTAACAGCCATGATCCCAGAGACTCAGGAACAAATCTTGGAACCCAGTAGGTTTTGGCAGAAATCCCTCCAGATTTAATTGTTAATATTTCAGAATTTCAAAATCATGCGGCCACTACTACAGCTGCATGACATCATATGTTATTCATAAGCAGCAGTAGAAAACAAATTGTCTACTTTTGCCATTTCGGCAGATCTGAGGGGTGGGGTAAAATCCCAAATAATAATGGTGGGTCTGGTGTCAAAATATTGAATGTGATCAAAGTAGAGAGAGAGTAATGTGGAAATCATCTGCCCCACAGATAGGGGGAGGGTGTGGGATGGGGGTATACAGGGGTTGTTGGTGGTGGAGAATGGGCACTGGTGAAGGTACGGGTGTTTCATTGTATGGCCGAGACTTAAACCCAAAAGCTTTGTAACTGCTCTCACGGTGATTCAATAAATAAAATTATAAAAAATGAAAAAAAAGTAAGGTGGAGTTCATGCCCAATTCAATCAGCCTAATCAGTGGCTGTATAAATAGCAGTACTCATATATATATATATATATATGAATAGCCTAGAAGTATCTTAGATCCAGACTGTTCAGATTAAAGATATAGCCATTAGCAAGGAAAAATGTCAAACCATGGTGTCCTTCTATTAGAAAGTTTTAATCTAAAGCAGATTTTTCAGAGAGAAGAATGATGGCTTCAAGACATGTAGGCTTATATTTCACTTTTGATAGTTTTGCAATGTACCTGAACAAATCAACATTTTACTATGATTATTTGATTAATGGTCCATTAAATTTTTAAAAAATCAACTTCCTTTAAAATAGGTTCACTGTCACTGTCACTGTCCTCCCATTGTTCATCGATTTGCTCAAGCGGGCCCAGCAACATCTCCATTGTGACGATTGTTACTGTGTGTGTCATATCAAATACGTCACCGGGAGCTTGCCAGGCTTTGTCATGCGGGCGAGATACTCTAGGTAGCTTGCCAGGCTCTCCGAGAGGGGCAGAAGAATCGAACTCAGGTTGGCCATGTTGGACGCTTGCAAGGCAAATGCCTTACCCGCTGTGCTATTGTTCCAGCCCAAAATAGGTTAGTTGACTGAACTACTGCAGTGCCTGACTCTCTGTTATTATTACATAGGGAAATAATTGACTTATATGTCTATGTATGCAGGAAAGAACCACTAATTACCTAAGAGAAATCACTGACTTACCTGTCTATATATGCAGGAAGCACCACTAATCTGGTGGCATCATCACAAACTGCAAACAACCATGATTACAAGAATAACCTATGTTTGAAGTATGAGTATAACTGATTCATTCTATTTCAGTGATGAGGAATCAGAAGAAAAATCATTAAAAATGCAGGAGGAAGTTACCATAAGATACAAATAATTTGATTCCATGTAAACACTCAACATTTTAAAATATTACAGAAGGAGTAAGGTTCTTCAGAGTTGACAACAATCTATCACTTTTAAAAAATATTTTAAATCACTTCAATATATTGCTAAAGAAATGCACCTTTGACATGTAGCTGAATACCAATATAGCTTTTCACATACAAAAATAAGCTTTATGAAATAAACTTACGCATTACCTGGTAATTGTTTTGGTTTTGTGAAAACCTCAGTTGGTTTGGTGATGAAAAATGTGGAGAAAAATTACTCCGTGATGAATTTGTATTACTGTACATTGTAGTAGATGCTGTGTGAAATGAGGTCCGTGGTGTCAAGTGACAGTCTCTGTTTTGATACAACACATTATCTGAAAGGTCTCTAATGTTAACCATTTGTGAATTTGGCATATTTCTTCCTGGCCCAGACAAAGTTGTACTTTGGTTCTCAGCTCTAAGGGAACTGCCACTTTCATAAAATCTTGAGTAGCTTGGTATCTGTGCTCCCATCAATGCCAACTCTTCCTCTCTGGCATACTCATCATCAGCATCCCCAGTTTCCATTGCAATAGACAAACAATTTCCTTCTGCTGAATTGGACTTCTGCGTGCCACTTCCTCCCAGAATTCTCTGTGGGTAATCACTAACAGCCAGTGAAAATACTTCACGGATTTCCAAGTTCCGCGTTCTGCAGTAAGGGTCTCTAATTGGTGGCTTTTGCCCACATAAGTTACGTGAACCCATGTGTTCAGGCTTATATAACCTTTGCATTCCAACTGGCTCAATTTTACAAGGTCGGTTACACACTGATGGCTTTTGAGGTACTGTTATTTCAGAAGTTTGCATTGAAGAGTTTCCATAGTTTTTCTTTGTGTGATTATATACTGAGTTTCCAGAATTTAACACACTTGTCTGTCTTGACAAAATAATAGTTTTTTCACCTAAGAGCAGAGAGGCATTTTTACAGTGTGCCACTTGCCTTTGAACGGGAATGTGCAACTGAAACTCAGTGTCATTTTTACTGGCTGTTTTCTGATTAGGGATTTTATGTGCTTCTGTGATTTGTGTATTTGTATGTTTGGTTGTTCCTTGCCTATTTGATGAACTGGCTGGGCTGTATATACCAGTTACAATGACATCATTATTGGAAGATGTCCATGAAGATTGTTGACTTGAGGATCGAGCAATATTAACTACATTTCTGACTGTAATGTCTGGAGTTCCCAAAGAGGGACCGGAAACAGTTCCTGTTGTTGCTGTTCCTGATTCAGAATTCTTACTACTCATTTTTCTTCTCTTATTGCCAACCCACGTCTGGAAGGATAAAAAATGGTATTACGGAAATGTTCTTAACAAGAGCCAGGAAAATTTCCTTTTCATGTGAAAAACTATTCTCATTTGTCATAGATTGAAGGTCTATACAAATTTAAAAGAAAAAATGATATTAGAATTAAGAAGTTTAAGTTAAATATAAGGTCAAATATATCAGGAACTTGTACTTAACAAATATCTAAGGAGCTCTGATAATAGAATCATATTTCTCCTCTCCTCTTCAAAACCAGTATATTACTAGGAATCAAGAACTCTAAAATTGTTTGTATTTCTTAGCCTAAGAAATTACCTCTGGGAAGTTACCTTACAAACTAGTGACAGATAAACAGAATTTCTATGTAATAATGTTTATCATATATTTATTTATAATAGTAAAAATTGAAATCATAGTCAAGGCAAAATATTTTATAATATTGGAAAATGCTCATATATTTAAAATATGCAATTGCAATCTTTAAGTTGAACAAATACATGAATGTATGACAACTTTTCTTAATTTCATATTATCTGGCATTTAGATTACATTTAGAAATATTTGCTATTATAAACCATACTTCAATGTGCATTAGTATACAAACATCTTTCTTGCTGTTTGTTTGAATGTCTTTTGTTAAATACTTTTTGTATGTAGTTTTTTATATTTTCAAAGAACCTCTAATATATGAGAGTTTTGATTTCCACGCACAACACTTTGCACTATCTTTTTAATGATATTTTAGTAGTCCAGGAGTTAATAAAAGATATGTAAACTGCTGTTTAGACTTGAAATTCTCTGTTAACAATTAATCCTAGATTAATTTTTACTAATATCTCAAGCCATACATTTTTTTACTCATATATTGGGGAATTTGTTTTTTTAATTGATTTATATGAATAGTTTTCAACCCCTTTGCTAGGCATCCTAGTTCAGGGGCTGTCAGGATTGCCTCAGTGTATGTCATAGCAACAAGAAAAAAGTTCATGTTTCCATGTTTGCCTTAGGTGCATTTTAAGCCATTAAGTTGTCTCTTGGACACCAAAGGAAAAATTTTCTATTAGAGATAATATTTTGTCACAAGTTGCAAATATTTTTCAAATCCATTAATTTATGATAGTTTATTTCCACTATATACTTTAATCTACTACTAAAACTTTATGGTAAATATGTGTATTATTATGAGTAACTTATTATTATCTTTATGTTGTTTTGCTGAATCATTTTTCCATTTAAATTATGTATTAAGACAAATTATTTTCCAAAATGCCTACTGTATAAAGTTTGGGTCCAATGAATTGTGGCAGAGGAATATTGGTAATTTTGTGGTGTGATATAGTAATTTATTTTTAAGAAATGTGAAATTATAGTCTTAAAAATATAGTTGTACAAACCAATGTTGATTCAATTAAAAAACTAAAAATAATAACATTTTTTGAAAAGGTTTTATTAAGAAATGTTACACAAACGTGGTGCATGGGATGTAGTTGGCATACTCTTATATGGTATTGTATTCTAATTTAGACATAGTTACAGTAATGTTTAAATTTATAGTATTGATGTGCACAGTTACTGCCACCAATGCCACTAAAGTGCCTATGACCCACCACCCCTCTCCTTTTGTGACTTCTCGTCCAATCTTCCTTCTATTATCACCTACACCCATTGTTTGTTGTTAATTGACAGTTTTTGTTTAGGTGCCATGTGGTATATTTCTGAAGTGCTATATTGATTTAGTCAAACTTAACTGCTTATAGAACATATAACACTAAACTTATTGTAATGATATAAATAAAAGATAACCAAATTAATTCATATTATGTGATTTTAATAGATATTAGCTCATTTGATTAGTCTCATTTCTAATTGGATAAATGAAGAAAGTGGAGTTCAGAAAAGTTAGTCTTTGAAAGTATATCGAGCCAGAAAATTGCAGAGAAAGAATCTAAAATTAATTCTACCGCAAATATATTGTTTTTCAACTTTCTTAATACACTCCTGGAATTGTCATTATTATTGTCTATTTTATAACTAGTGTTTCATAGGGCTGGAATGATATTATAGTGTGTATTGTGATTGCCTTGCATGGTGACTGACACAGATTCAATCCCCGATCCCTGCCACAATTGATGCCTGAGTGCAGAGCCCAAAGAAAGCTCTGAGAACAGTCAGATGTGGCCCACACCAAAGAAAACATGGCCCAGAGACTGAGATGGACACGTTGCTTCATATGAAAAGTGGTAATTCTAGACTTACTCTGATTTAGTTTTGCTACACAACAGAGGTAAGAACTGAAAAAAGAGGGAGAAATGAAAATATATTTTATATTTACATATAAAAGGATTTGTGATTTGTGAAAAAAATGGTACTACTTAGAAGAAAAGACGTTTGGTTCATCACCATTTGATGCACATACATTTCTCTTCTATTTTCATTGCCTTTAATAATCTCTTTACATTTTATACCTCGTCATTTTTCTTTTTGTTTATTTACTCCATTAGACTTGTTCTTTGTATGCGTTATAAAAGTTTTTGTTGGAAAAGCAACTCCCAGTGGTACTTTGGGACTCAGGGTCATTTCTGGTGGTTCTTAGAGTACCATTATGTATTAGAGATCAAACCCATGACTTTGCACGTGGAAGGTATATGTTCTAGCATGTGAACCAAATTTCTGGTTCCATTTTAATATTTTAAGTTCCTTCTATATTGGGAACAAATTATTACAGTGTGATTTACGTTAGGTGGAGGAAAATATTATAGTAATAAATAGTCTACTAAAATAAATAATAATGTTTTTTAAAGTAGAAATTATAGAATTACCAAAACATAATGGTTGACTGAGGTTCTAGATTAATGAGTCTATAAACAAGCTCCTTCACACAGGACTAAAAAAGCCAACAAAATTGCAATTAAATAATGAAGACTGAGTTTCTATACAATCTATATGCTCCTAGATCGGAGAGAATGGATCTATTTCTTAATCCAATAAAATTTCTTAATATTGACATAACTTTAAACTAAGTTATACCAATTGGGACTCAGATATCACTTTCATATTCAATGTTCTATTCAATATAAGCAAGTTGAAATACTAAGGTAAGACTGAACTAACACAGTGGAAAAATGAAAGACCACATTACAAAGTACAGCTTCATGAGAAGACTTTCCACTTTTTTTGAAGAAATCATCATCATATAATAGATCATGTTTTTGCCCTATAACTTTCTCAGACTTTATATGTGATATATATTCAAATAAATACATGTGTTTGTGTATGTTGTATATATATACATATATATGTATATATAAATATATATGATTGCCTGAAGTTGAAGTTCCAGTAGCCTTTATGTACCACAGGAATATTTTGTGGATTGGGACTTTTGTTCTGTTCAAGACCATGCATAAATATCATGCTATTTTCCTTTTGTATTGACATGTCTGAATTTATTTTAAATTAAATAATAAGGCAGTTCTCTGTTAAAAATGAACTGAAAGATGGCATAATAACATAGAAAGTAAAATCACTACAGGAAAAAATAGCATGAGTGCAAACTAATAAACTTTTACCAAATTTAAATATTGCACATTATATATTATATTTTTCTAATAATATTAAGCATTTTTCTTTGAGTTTAATTAAAGTTTCTTGAAAGGGGGTATTAACTAGTTCTATTAATATAAATAATTTAAGTTTTTATATAATCTTGAATATGATCGTTGGTTTCAGCAAACAAGAAACAACTTTTCTTTTTTTTTATTAGTGAAACACCATGAGGTACAGTTATAGACTTATAAATTTTTGTGCTTGGGTTTCAGTACTCTCCGCCAAGCATTAGAAGAATAATTCTATATTTGAAAGCAAATATCTATTTTATACTTCAAAAAACATATTTTCCAAGAATTCTGCTTACTAAGATATATTTATCTTTATAGTCTCTGAAGGTTACTTGAATGGAAAAATGAACTTGAAAACAGATGTCTTTCTTGTTCCCAAATTAGCCTAAATAATGACAGGAATGAAAATGCTTCTAACCTTGAATAGCTAAGGTTACATGCAAAATTATTTAGAGAATTTTCAGGCAACATAAAAGAACTTTCAGAGTCAAAATATATTACTGACTCACTTAGATTTATCTCTTGACTCTTCTCTGTCATCTTCTTATAATGCTCATAAACTTGTAAGAACTCTGATTTTTACAACTGAAGAACTATGTCAGTGAAAAAAATCTTTCTTTGAGATTCTTGTCTGCACACTTGCTTGCTAAACCATTAAAATGCATACACTTTTTACTCAGGATGAGGGATAGGCAATCATTAAAAAACAAAAAACAAAAAACAAAACAGATTTTCCTGAAAATTAAAAAATGCTCAATCATCACTTCTCAGCAGTTTGATTAAGATCTTATGCTATTGGGTGGGGGGTGTTTATTTATAAAATAGCAACTTTACTTAAAAAATGTCAAATCATTTTATTCTTTTTTACTTCTAAGATTAAGAACAAAAATAAATTCATAGATGCCCTATGAAAAAATAATGTACAGCAAGAATATAATGAAAGAAAACAATGCTCCCTTGGTGCACATTATATCTAGATTAATTCTGGGTTTAAAGATATCATAAAATGAAAGCATAAGATGCCTTTAGGCATATCTTAAAGGTATTCATATGTGTTTGCAAGGCAATCACATAAACAAATATATATTAAATTTTTATTTCTAGTTATTAAAATCTAGTGTTTATATCAAGGAAATAAAAGTATTTATAAAGATAGTTACTTAATATTCTGATAGGTTTTCTTGTATTAGGCAATTAATACTTGAAATAAAAACCTACATATTAGAAGGAGTGTAAAACCTCAATACTTACCCTAACTACACTGAAGTCCAGTTTAGTCTCTTGTGCGCACTGTAAAATGAGCTGAAAGCAGTTTTTACTTTGATTTGTCATTCCATTTTCATAATAACGCTGTAAAATCCTTTGTTGTTCTACAGTAAATACAGAACGGAGATTCATCTAAAAATAAAAGAAGATACCCTGAAATTTTAAGTAAAAATTGAGATTGTGTAGAATCTGTATGTTTTCAATTTTTTTTAATTTTTCACAAAATTTTCCTAAAGTAAACGAATCCCAGTAATGGCTAATAATGTGTCTACAAAAAGGGAGACAGATTCTCATTGAAAGCCATAGCTTATAATGCAAACATTAATTTTGTTCAGAAAAAAATGCCAACTCGAAAAACAATTTGTTTAAAGAGAAAGTCTTTGTTTTATGTCATCATGCGGGTGAAGTTCCAACAAAATAAATATTTATGTCTAGTAAAGTCTGAGAGGGTGGTAACCATACATGGTAAATTATCAACAGGGATACTCACTGTTCTTTGTCATACAAAACAGCTTGCATATGTCAGCAGAAGCTATGCTCTGGAACACGGAACACAAGGGTACATTTATTTTTCCTTTCTGGGAGAATGGAGTTCATTTTATACATCAAAACAGAACCTCTCCTTAAAGTTTAAAAATAAATAGGAAGGTGTAGTCATTATGAAAATTTATTTTTAAAAATATTCCACATAATTTTCTTAATAACTAAATATTTATTAAAATTACAATTAATTTATGTTACTAAAACACATTTTAATGGAACTTTGCACTTTTTAATTAAATTAATGAGGATTTTAATTTAATTGACATCACAGAAAAACATGAAATATTTTTTTCAAGATCACTCTTCATACTAATGAGCAAAAATTTTACTCTTATGGGAAAATAACTCTAAATCTGTCACAGATAAAAGAAAGATGAAGCTCATTTTTTTTTGAAGTGTGGGAGGCATGTGTACCAACTCCTGATCCTCAGGGGTCATGATCAGGGGACCATATACAGTGCTAGGAAACATAAGAAGGTTGAAAGCCTGAAAGCTCCTTACCACTACGGACTCTGGCCTCAAGATATTTTTAAAAAGAAACAGCATAATTATCATATTGAATTTTATAAATAAGTCATGGAATAAATTAATGCAACTAGGTTCTAAACAAAACATATCAGAATAAAATTGCTATTCAGAAAAAAAAAATTAACAGAATTTTAAAATAAAATCTGCCTCAAAGGAAATGCCTATTTAAAACTTGGAAACTGCAACCAAAAACATAATAAGCCAAATCAAACAGAAATTCAAGCATGCTAGCACTTTAACATGGAAATAAAGTATAATTTCCCTCCCGCTACATATATTATGGACAATAAAGAGCTCTAACAAGAAAATTATTCACAACAGTTATCCATTGACAACTCTCTTTCTTGACAATTAAACAAACCTCTTACTATCTAGTATTAAGAAATGTGATTAGAGAATATCAGACGTGGAAGAGGGCTCAGGAAAGATTAGATACTCACTAATATACTGAAGGAGATCGGTCAAGCTTCTATCTTTGACTACACTGATTTTTCAAGGACGTTTGGATCAGAAGGCAAGAACCACATATCTGTATATATTACTTTTACTTAAGATACTTATTTTCTATATCAAACTTATGTTTTAATTTACTTTTACTTAATCCTGACTTACTTTTATTTACTTTTACTACATCCTATTGGTAAAACTTCAGTTAGAGTTAAGAGATGAGTCAGAGATTGGGGATCAAATACCTGAAATATCTCATTTGTTATGGGTTTAGAACAGTATTTTGGAATGATAATTAAAGCATAGTGGTAAATTTTAATTCATTAATAGATTAAAAGCAATGACTACTACTTCTCTGCATGACTATACCTACTACAAAATACCTTGGGTGCTGTATAATTATGTAGGAATATTTGTTACCTAATTCTGTGAGTTTGACAATAGTTACTTTGTATCACTTGCATCACTTGTATCACTTGTCCTATGGTTGTTCATCCATTTGCTCCAACGGGCACCAGTAAGGTCTTCATTCGTCCCTGTCGTGTGCTAGCATAGCCCAATGGCGTACTGGGGGTTATTTCAGGGTCAGGGGAATGAGACTCGTTATTGGGCATATCAAATATATCATGGGTAGTTTTCCAGGCCCTGCCGTTCGGATGGGATACTCTCGGTAGCTTGCCAGGCCCTCCAAGAGCGAGAAACTGCATCACTCTCTTCCGGGAGATTTGTTTTATAGTCTCTGGATCCTGGACACTGATGAGATTACATGGCACTAAGGACAGTTTGTGCATGTGACTGCCAAGCTACTGGAAAACGGGGGATCTGGGTGGAAGGGGCCCAGTCCCGATCTGAGCAGACTTGGAGCTCTCAGACATGGGTCATGCATACCTGGGTTGCTCAACTGCCTGTTCCTTCATGTGTGAGGCTCCTTCGAGAGTGTAAAGAGTAGCTTCAGCATAGCTGTAGTTGGGTTCTGAAGGATTTCGGCTGCCGGGATTCTGCTTGGGGCAGGGAGGGAAACTCAATCCGCCTGTGGGCCGGTGAAGACAGCCTGGTGCGGGAGCAGGAGATTCTGCCAGTTACTTTATTTAAATGGAATTTTGAAATTTTTATCCTGTATCTAAATTACTTCACTTAGAACAATGTTATGGCTATTCATCAACATTGTTGCAGATGACAGGATTCCTTCTGGATTCTTTAAATTGTAGTTTAAGTAATATAGTATAGTAGCCTTTAATTTTATGGGTTTTGATGTATTTACTGCACCATAACCACCACTAAAGTTCCCGTGACCCTGAAACAAATGCCTTTATGTCATTTCTTGTCATTTGTCATCATATAAATCTTCGACTTGCTCGAGCAGGCACCAGTAATGTCTCCATTTGTCCCTGTCCCGTGCCAGTGTAGCCCAATGACATCTGCTCGCTCCAGGAACATGAAGAGACTCAAACCGTTTGTTCAGGGTTTTGACGAAGAAGTCTGACGATCACATAGGTGGGCAGCAACACATCCTTTTGACGTCCCATGGAATCCAGTCAGTAGCAGCTTTAGTCCAGGAGTCATCTCTAAATCTCATTACATGTCCAACCCATCTGATTTTCGATGCCTTGGCAAACGAGACAGCGTCCCTGATTCTCGATCTTCGACAGAGGTTGGAACTCTGGATTCCTACACTCACTTGAGTGAAATGTGATATTCCAAGCATAGCTCTTTCAATTCCTCTTTGGAATACCCGAATAGCATTCTGGTTCTGTTTTTGTAGACCCCAGGTCTCTGAGGCGTATGTTAGTGTAGGAAGAACGGTGGAGTCAAAAAGATGTGCCCGGAGTCAGAGGTTCTTCATCCTCTTAACAACTTCTTTGATGCTCTTGAAGGTATTCCATGTCACTCTCTTCCTCATGGGCAGTTCTGGCACCAAGTCGTTCATCATGTTGAGTCCTCAACCCAGGTACATATAGCTGCTGCATTTTGAGATGTTTGTTCCATTGAGAGCAAATAGAATGTCAGGGACTAGGTAGTTCTTCATGAACATTGTTTTGGTGAGATTCAGCTGCAGTCTGACCTTTCCACACTCATGGTGGAAGTGGGTCAGCATTTGTGCCGCTTGGTTAATGTTTGATGTTATTAGAACAATGTCATAAGTGAAGCGGAGGTGGTGTAGTTGCTGAACATCTATCTTCACTCCCATTTCTTCCCGATCCAGTTGTCACATGACATTCTCTAGAGTGGCACTGAAGAGTTTGGGTGAAATGGTATCACCCTACCGAAACCCTCTCTTTACATGATAATCAATTCCTTGTAGAATGGTAAGATCCTGGTGGTGTATCTATATTCCAGCTCACGGAGGATACTGATGTACTGAATTTGAACGCCCTGTTTGTTAGGGCTTCGATGACTGCTTCAGTCTCAACAGAATCAAAGCCTTCTTTAAATCGATGAATGTTAGACAGAGCAGTATCTTGAACTCTCGTGAAACCTAAATAAGCTTGGTCACCATGTGGATATGGTTGATTGTGCTAAATGCTTTTTGGAACCCAGCCTGGTAACATGATTTTCCTTCATCTAGTGTTCTGCCTATTCTATTCAGGATGACTCGAGTGAACAACTTATAGACAGCAGGCAGATTGGGTGATAGTTGCTGATATCATGAATGTCTCTCTTCTTGTACAACAGAATGGTCCTGTTGGTTTTCTATTGGGGCAGAACCTTTCATTCATATAAGTAGTTTGTGAAGTGCTGAGCCAGTGTATTTACGACTACTGGCAGCAGATTCCACAGGTGTTCAGATCTGACCTTGTCTGGACCGGGTCCTTTACGCTTCTTTACTGACAAAATGGCGTGTTGGATTTCGGAAGGGAGAATGTTGGAAACAACATATTCATCCTGAAGAATTTGATATGTGGCCAGGTGGACATGGATTTCAAAGAGATCTGAGTAGAAGTCACATATAATCTTATACATTGCCCTTCTGGATGATGTGATAGATCCATCAGGACGTCGGAGGGCAGTCATTTTGGTCTTGTAGTTGGCGAAGGACAGGCGAGCGTTGCAAATACTTTTCCCAGCTTCTTCTGCGTCTGCCAGCACTGCTGCTCTTCTCTCTTTGAGGTCTTCCTTTATCGCTACTCTGCAGAGCTTTGCGAGCTCGGACTCCCATGTCCAACGTTTAGATTCGGCCTTTTGGAACTCTGAGTGACCATGAATGGTCTTCATTGACATGATGAACTCAGTCTTTCACCCTGTTCGTTCCATTGTAGGCCATGGGTCCCGATGTGAAGTTCTTCAGGTGAACTTCTTGGTCCTATCTTGGCTTTAAAATCAACAACAATGATCTTGTAGAAGGTGTGGTCTTCTTTATAAAACTTCTTCAGCTCCATGTAGAACTTCTCAATTTCTTCTTCATCGTAGTTGGATGTGCGTGCATAGACTACAAAGATCGAAACTGCTGGCAGTGAGCCACATCTATTCAAGCATAATTGTCTGAATCGAGTTATTATGTATTCGAACAAATCAATGCTTATGGCCAAGATTGTGTTGACAAGGACACCGACACCACCGATGCCTCTATTGTTGCATGTTCCAAGGAACAGTTCTTCTCCAGTGTCAAAAACGGC